GACATCTGGGAGTCTCCTTTTGAAGAATGGATGCCTGGAGCAAGACACACTGTAAGGATGTTGGAATCTTTAGACTGGTGTGTCCCATGAGTTGTCTGTCTGCTGACTTATTTTGCTACTTGAAGCTTTGTTTTGTTTGTTCATGTTTTTTGATCTACAAAATGAATAGAAGGACAGTGGCTACCTCACAGGGTGTGATCAGTTTTCCGTAAGGAAATTATGTATTGCATTTAGATTAATGCTCGGTGTTTGCCAACACATCCTACTAAAAGGTAACTACAATGTGAATTGTTCCTTTTGTGCCATTTTCTCATTTGGAAACAGAATAAACAAAGACCATCATTTCCTGTTTCAGAGGGGAGCTTAAATATATAAGGTTGAGCACTATGAAATTGTCAGTGTTTGGTCATTTTTGACCTATAAAAACAGCCATTTCATGTGGGTCAACCTGATAAAATGTGGTATGATGATTCCTATCTTTAGAGACTTATATTCACTTGTAAGTAGGGATTGTTATTTTATTTCCTTTCACTTCCTAGTTATTCCGTGAAAAGCAGCCCTCCAAGAAATAAGACTAGTACTATAGTTTCTTTTTTTTCCTCTTTGTCTTATTTTGTACTTCCTGCCCCTGCTATTTGCCCATAATCACATTTCACAGAGCTCTGTAGGGGCAGCCCTGGGAATCAGAAACCCATGGAAGAGGGCAGATTTGTTAGTTTCTGTGTTATACTGTTAATTGATTTGATAATTGCCTGGGAGACACACACAGACATATACACACCCAAAACAAATGTCAGGCCACACACTTCCTCTCAACAGTAAGATGAAGATGTTTTAGTTATTGAAACTCAGATGTCACCTCAGAATAAGAGGAGGGACTGAGGAAAAGGAGACGGGCAGGGAGTCGGTGTCGGGGGAGGGGGAGGCAGGCGATCCCTCTTGGTTATCAAGTGAAATGACTCCCCAAATATGACAATAAATCACTGCAGGAATCAATCAGACGGGAGGCCACTGCTCCATGCTGATAATGCATCAATCAATATTTAATGTTTACACTTTAATTAATCCACACATGGGAAGCATTCGTTCAGTGACAAAAATAAAGGGATGAGAAATAAAACACCTTTTATATCAAGGAGCCGTGAGTGCGCTGCCTATCTGGGTGGCTTTGATTGGAGCTGTCATTGATCACCGTGAGCCTCACCAGCAGCTGCCTAGTCACATTTGGATATCAAGCTAATGTGGGGGAGGGGGCCTGAAGTGTCAGAATCCAGCCCGGAAGATTGTGACTTCCACAGAACCCTGGCGGAGGAGTATGGATTCCTGTGAAGGTAGAACAAAGCCAGAGCAAATATTGAATTCAAAACGTTGGTGACATCTTCTCCCCAGAAAAGATTTCTGTCTGCAGATGGTGATCTATAATTCTGGAGGAGACAGGGTGAGACAGAAAGACACGCTCTCCTCTGCTGTGGAGAGTTCAAGTTTAGTCTTGAACACAAGGATTCCAGCAACAACCGTCAGAACCGTTGTAGGACATTCCTAGCATATCTGTGTGCTTTTCTCCTCTGCCCTACTGCTCATTAGGGAGCGCACATTAAAATGCCCACATCCTGCAGTAATTATAATTTGTATGTAACAATGCAAGAATTTGTTAGAGCTTTGCTTGGTGTGTTAGCCTCATACTACATTTTCTAGACATTTAATCAAACATATATTACTTATGATTTTGCAGTTTTCTTTGGATATTGTACAGCCAGTGCTTTTCATCATAGGTTGCAAATCTTTCTCATATTCTCTGAGGTCCTTGGAAAGCTTATGGACTGTATGGTATAAATGAGAAGATGGCTTTGTAGATGATGTTGAAGTTTGATCCCCTAAGTCCACTAAGTATTTTTTTCTTGAGCTGTGAGATGAACACAATAGATGCTAAAAATACAAGAGTTGGGTTCAGGCTGTAGCTTCACATGCCTAAGGCCCCAATGTGTATTTACCTACCAACTTCCTGTCTGTTCCTGCCAAGGGCTGCTTCTAGGGTGTTAATGACCTACTCTCCACTCTCAAGGCCAGAAGTGCCCCCTCCCCATACTTTTCCTTTCAAGCAGCCTTCAGCTTGCAGAGTTGAATGGTTAAGGGACATGAGTGCCTACCAAATGTAGCTGCTACACTGAGTTAGGTAAGTAATAACAGCCACTCATTCTGACTGTAAAATGTTTAAAAAATTACAGATGGTTTCAGACCAAAACTCTTTACCATTTTCGTAATGAAGCCAATCCTGTTAGTGTTTCCTTCAGTGTTGGAGAAGAGCATGCTCTGTCAATCGAGTGTTAAGTCTGTTTTGTGTTGCTATAACATAATACTCAAGGTTGGGCACTTTGTAAAGGAAGGAAGTTTATTTAGCTCACTGTTCTGGAGGTCCAAGAGCATGGTGTCAGCACTTATATGGTGCTGGCTATGGCTGCAAGGCAGATGGCATATAAAATAGTGGAATGTGTGCAGAGGAGATCACATGGCATGAAAGGAAGCAAGACAGATTCAGAGGAGGTGCCAGGAAGTCCTGGGAGAGAGAATGGAAATGTGAATCCCTCTATAATCCTGACTACATCCATTATGGCCTGCCTCTTAAAATCTCCACTACCTTACACCACCACACCAGATACCAAGCTCCCAATACATAAACCTTCAGGAGCAAACCATAGCTGTATTAGATGATGTGTTTTAGGCGCCGTGTGTCCAAAATGTGGAAGCCTTGGAGCAAGATGTTCACACTACAAGAGGCACAGAGACTGAGGCTCACTGAGGGGCCAGCAGATGCACAAATCTCAACTTACACCACTTCTTCAGCCTAATGTTAAGTCACATCCTGACCTCATATTTTTCTGTTTCTCCATCTCTCTTCCTCCTTTCCTACATCTACCAAGCTTGATTGCCTGCCTTTGAGCAAAGTAAATTCTTGTATGGTACAATGCTTCTGTGTATACCCACAACTCTGCTCTCACACACCAGAGCCACACTGTGCCCCATCTCCCCCACCCACGTCAGAGCAACATACTAATGGTTATTAATGGGATGCACACTACAGTCATCTGATGCACACTCTACTGGTTTACTTTCTCTCTCTCTTTTTTTTTTTTTTTTGCATTTGAACTATTTGCCATTCTCCCTAGGTTCCCTTGTGATTTACTAAATTTATTTCTACAGTGTATGCCATCGATCCCAACATACTTCTAATTGGGTGAGTAGAATTTTGTTTTTGTTTTTGCAGTATTGGATGTTGAACACAGGGCCTTTGCAATGAGTTATTTCCCCACCCCTTTTTAAAACATTCTGAAATTTTGAAACAAGGCCTTTCTAAGTCCAAACACCAAGCAAAGAAAAACATGATGAATCCATGAGAATACCACTGCTGTTGTGTTTCTCTCCCAAATGGAGTCACTGTTGAAGACCAGGCCAGTGCAGTTGGGTTAAGAGTCTGTTCTTCCAGTGATGATCTCTGTTGGTACACAATTACATGCCCTATTGGCTTAGTTCCAATTCCCATATACTCATGTTACTCCCCAGACAACTGAATCGAGGAGGCCAGACCTGAGATGCTTCTATTTGAGTCATGGAAAGATCTCTGCAAAAGGAAGAGGCCCTGAAATACAGAGTTTAGCTATTTTCCTATCCTCAGTGTTGCCTCCTGAAGGTGTATGAATCCTGCAGACATACTCCCAGCACAGGCTCACTGTTGGCCAGATTTTAGACACTCCAGGACTTTTTCCTTTACCTTACTGAGACTTTATCCTGCTCAAAAGGAGCCCAACACCATCCTCCTTTGGCTGTTCTGTCTTAGAGTTGACTGCATGTTCTAGATGCATTCTGCTGCTGGCAAGCAAGTGATCTTGGACTTTCCTCAGTGTTCTGTGGTAGGACTTGGGTTGGGTTGGTGAGGGTTTTCTAGATTTAAATAACCTGTCTAAATCATTTTTTATTATTTTTGTCATATCTATGAATTTCTTAGGCTCTTACTTAATATTTTTCTTCTTAATTGACTCTCTAAATGTATTCCATACATTTTTGAGAAAGGAAACTTTATTCACTCTCACATATGGACTATCTAGGTGGCATAAATAGATGGTGTTACAGTTTAGATATAAAATGCTCCCTCCTGCCATCTCATGTGTACAGAGGTGAGTCTTTTCCAAGATGATTGGATCACAGGGGTTCCTTACTCATCAGTGGATTAATCCACTGATGAGTTCTTAGCTGAATGTTCTATTAGGAGGTATGGCCTAGTGGGAAGAAGTAGGTCTCTGGGGGGTGACCCAGAAGGATGTATTCTTGTCCCCAACTCCTCCCTTCTTTTTTCTTCCTGGCTGCCATGGTTTGAGCAGCTTTCCTCTGCCAGACCCTTCCACCATGTCATTTGTGCTCTGGAACCAGCCAACCATGGACTGAACCCACAGAAACCATGAGCTAAAATAAACCTTTCCTCTTTTAAATTGTGGTGTCAGATATTTTGTGCAAGTGATGAGAAAGCTGAGCATACAGAAGGTAATAGAGAAAATAAGTATAGCACAAACAAAAAATCTGTTATTAAATTCCAGTTACATATGCACATAGAAAATTTCACATTAAAACCCAACATTCTGTATAATTAATATGCATTCATAAAAACTATATATAGGAAAGAAATTCTAGCTAAATGCCATTGCCCACCAATGATTATGAGCAGTAGGTCCACCTGTGGTTTCTTAAAAGGGAGATGGGCTAGTGTCTGAGAAGAATTGAAGACACAAGATCCTACAGAAGTTTCTTTTCCCAACCATCGATGAGAAGGACAGGAGGAGGCTGCAGGGAGGGTGCAGGTGTGCTATGCTATCTACAGTTCCTGTGAGCTCTTGTGAGCTCTTAAGCTCTGCCCCTATGGTTTGGCAGAATTGCCAAAGTAAAATTCTGCATTCACTGGTTCTTAGGGCTCTTTTGATTCTAATCACTGGCATTACCTTTTTTGTTTATAGAATAATTTTGCCCAGAGATACCAACAAGAACATGGAGTGCTGGACATCTGGACCCAGAAGATGATCATGTCCTGTTGTGGGAGGCAGAGTTCCTGCCTCCTAGGAGGACCTCCCCATCTGATCCACAGGATCCCACCTGATTCAACCACAGGCCACTGATTTGGTTTAAGGTTTCTAGTTCTAGAAATATGCACATTCCCAGGTAGCAATGGAGGATGATGTTTTCAGGGTCTGCAGGTCATTTCTAGCACCCTAGGACTGGGTTTGTCATTCGCTGGGAGGAAGTATGAGGTGTAAGGATGGTTAAGAAGCAGAATTGTCTGGGTCTGGATCATGGCAACCAAATAAAGAAGCAGGGATGACTCGAGCCCAACTTCTCAGTTTTTGCTGAGGTCCATCCTTGGCTTCTGGGTGCTATCTCAGGCAAGATATTAGAAAGAGAGTTTTAAGATTTAGGGCTGTTTTTCGAAAAAGTCAAGTACATAGTAGCCCCTATAGTCTATTTTCTGTTGTTATAATAAAATCCCCAAGATTGGGTAACTTATAAAGCAGAGATGTTTATTTTGGCTCATGGTTCTGAAGGCTGGGAAATCTAAGACCACGGTGGTGGTGAAAGCTTCATGCTGTTTCAACTCATGGCAGAAAGTGGAAGGGATCATATGGTGAGACAGAAAGCAAGAGAAAGCCATGAAAGCTGGACACTTCATAGCATTTCCCTCCCTCCCTCCCTCCCTCCCCCTCCCTTCCATCTGTCTATCTATCTATCTGTCTCTCATTGAATTTTTTTTTTGTATAAAATCTGCCTACTTGCCAGGATGGCATTTTCTGTCCTGGGTTTGGCAGTCTCGTTACTTGAGTCCTGACAGTCAGAGATTATTGATCCTCTTATTGGAAGCAGAGGCATAAACATGAAGGATGTCTTCATCATTTTCTTTTCCTACCTGGGAGCGTGGCAGGGGCCTTTGTTGGAGTTGCTAAAGTGACTGCTGAGGAATTTACCATGGCCCTTCGCTCCATCCCTCCTCCTATACCCTGATGCCCCACCATATCGGCTGAGACCAGCCTTGATGTATTCTTTTCTTTCCTTTTTTTCCCTTGTCTCTCTTTCTTTTCTTTCTTTTTTTCTTTCTTCTCTTCCTTCCCTTCCTTTCTTCTTTTTTGTTCACTCATCTCACTGCTTGACCAGTCCTATCACATACTAAGATACATCCAGATGTCACTCCTGGTTGACTCCCCAAAACCAAAAAGATTTTTTGGATCAATTCCTAGGATCCTCAAGCTACTTTCTTCCAGAGAAAGACTGATCCAGAATTGGGTAATGGAATAACACTGGTCAGGGAGATCCCTCATAGTGCTGGGAAGGCAGTGGCAGCTCCACTTGAAGTTCTAGGCCACTATTCCTTGCCATGGTTCTGGGCGATCAAAACTTTGTGGTACTAATAAATTCCTTGACCTTTTACTTCACAGGAAGCAAGACAGTCAAATTCCTCTCTTTAATTTGCACACAGGCACTCAGTTTTTCAGTGAGAGAATTGGTGTGTGAACATTCTGGGGAGCTCACCTTGTTCTCATCAGTGAATTGTCAGATCCTCTCACATGGGGTGTGTGCTGTAGTTAAAATTCTGAAAATATGTCTCAGCATACCAACCAAATATAAAGGCATCCTTTAATGGGTGTATGCTTGTATGGAAAGCATCTCCACTGATTTGTAATAGCCTTTTGGGGAGTTGTCTCAAAAGGCAGAGGCAGAAATCTTTTTTCTTTTTAATATAGTGTAGTTTTGTGTTTCTCTATGAAACTTCAAATTAGGAAAATGGTAAACTGTAATCATATTTTGCATTAAAATTTTAATTTTAAGTGATTTTTAAGAATTTTTATAATAATCAGAAGAATTCCTTTGTATAATTGCTGTGAAATTGTACTTTGTATAGTAGATTGGAGATATAGATGATTTAACCTATGACATTACTAGAATGAAAACAATAAAATAGGGAAGATGAATATGATAAAAATGTATTATATGCATTTAATCCCCTAAAAATGGTAAACTAAGGGGAAGGGCTGGGCAGTGGAGCAACTGGAGAGTGAAAATGATTGAAGTGTGTTCTGTGGATCTATGAATCTGCTAAAATGAAACCCATTAATCCATATAACTAAGAGGCACTGATTTTAAAAAGATGTATAGCAAAAAATCATTTATTAGGTGTATCCCTCCTGAATGTCAATGGTCTATTGCAAATATACTTTTAAATAATTGAAAGTATTGTACACATTCTATTTTTTAAAAGACACAATGAGTTCCAGGAAACCAATAGAGAAATGGCCAACTCTCTGTTTTTCTTAATGAGTATCATAGTTTTTATGATGACAGAACAGTGGCTTTTGTAATTCTCAGCAACCTTGGAAAATGTTCTAATGCAAAATTGACTAACATTGTTAAAATAATGGGATAAGTAAGTCATTTCAAGAGTCTGTGTCCAAATTTAAACCACCATGTTGTCCAGCCAAGGATGTTGAAAATTAAGTCCTGGTCAAAACTTATTATGGTTGGCATCAGAATGAGAAGTTAAGTGGGTGTCTTGGTCAAAAATAAAAGAGTTAAGAGGCTGGGGATTTAACTCAGTGGTTCCACCGCCTGCCTCGCAAATGTAAGGACCTGAGTTCGATTCCTGGTCCCCCCCCCCAGAAAAAAAAGAGTTAAAATTCAGAAATAGATCTAGCTATTTTCTGTGTTAAGAAAATCTCCAAGAAATAATCCAGTTTTGAATTAGAATGTCTTAGAAATGGAGAGAAAAGAAAAGTAATTATTTTCTTTGCTGTGGTGCATTGAAAAAAATTCTAGGTTTTATAAGAAGATCCATGATTTTAAAGACTGGAAGAGACCTTCTTTGGTCTTTTGCTTTTTAACCCATATGACTATCTGTCAAACCCAAGGGACCCCATAAATTCCTATCTACGTTGTCCTTTCCCATCAGTTATTACTATATTACTATAAAAAGGAATTTAGGGCCAGTTTACAGGGTGACACTGTGGATAACAAATTATCTACACCAAAATCTGTTGTGAATACTGATTGAATGTCATGTAAATTTTCTACAAAAAGGGCCCAAAGGGACTGAGTTTAAGTTGTGTAAAGATTTGGAGAGGGAAAGAGTATTGTGTTTAGGTACACTGCTGGCTTGATCACTTTGAAAGATTGAATGAATAGTTTCACTAAATTTAACTTTTAAAATAAAAGGCCAATTCTGTCAGTGTTAAATGTACTGTGCATGACTGGAAGAACACACTTAGTCCTAGAATGGTAGAACCCATACCTGGATGACATTTAGATATCATCTATTAAAACTCAGCAACATTCCAGATGGCACCAAGGATAAGAAATAGTGAGTGAGTGACTTCACCAGAGTTTCACGGTTTAGTGTTCCTTCTGTAACCGTCTAAGAAACCATACTGCCTCATCCATTTGTGCACAAGTAAAGGATTCTAAAGTCATCATTTATCCATCCATCCATCCATCCTTCCAAAATATTATCTATTAACCATCTTTCTGTTTTGGGTGGGATCCTAGCAGTACAAGGAGAGAAGCCATCTGTATCTTCAAAAGGAGGTCACACTATGTACTGCAATGCTTGTCCTGCTAAAGGACTGCACAGGATTCTATGGAAATATAAGGGAGAGGTGTTGCAAACTGACTGGAGGTGATTAAAGATGACTATCCAAGAAATCTGACATCTGTGCCAAGTCTTGGAGCATGGTAGCATTGATCCCCAACTCTGTTCTTCCTTTTCAAAATTATTTAGTTTGTGGATTTCTTTTACCTTTCCATATAAATTTTAGAATCAGTTTGTCAGTGGCTACAAAAAATTATGAATACTGTGCTTTTCCTACAAGGCAATTCCACTTTTTCATTCCTAGTTTTAGAAGTTTGAGGGTTTTTTTCTCTTTTCTTGGTGATTTGAGGTAAAGGTTTATCAGTTTTGTTGAAGTTTTTCAAAGAACCAACCTTTGATTTCATTGATTTTTCTCTATTGCCCATCCATTCTGTATTTCATTGATTTCCACTCTGATCTTTATTATTCCTTTCCTTCTGCTTGCTTTGTTTCATTTGCTCTTTTTTCCTCCTAGTTTCTCAGTGTAGAAATTTAGGTTACTAACTTGAGATATTTCTGTTTAAAAGGCATTTACAATGATACATTTCCTTTTTTTTGTATATCCTTTTATTGGTACATTTTAGGTGTACAATATAATGACATTCATCATTGGAGATATGCACCTTTATATACTCTCTTGGTTCTTATTCTTTCCCCCTTCCCCTGCCCTCCCTTCAACCCCTCCATCCCTCCCTATTTACAAAGACTTTGTTTCCATTTTTTCATTTTCTCAAATTAATTCCATTCCCCTCTTTCCTTTCCCCTACCCCTCCCACTTCCCCCTCCCCTTTGCCCCTTTTCTTTCTATTTCACATTATCTATTATACCTTTTAGTCCTTAATTACACTTTCAGTTTCTCACACTAGAGAAACTATTCGGTATTTACACATGTGTGTCCTGTTTATTTCACTCAAGAGTATTGCCTCAATGTGCATCCTTTAGCAATAAATGTCTCTAATTTCTCATTTTTGATGTCTGAATAGTACTGCATTTTATAAAAACCCACATTTTCTTTATCCAGTCTCCAGTTGATGGACATTTGGGCTGTTTCCAAGTTTTAGCTATCACAAACTGTGCTGCTATGAACATGGGTGCACATATATCACTGTGGTATGATTCTTTTAACACTTTGAGGAAGATACCCAGCAGGGGAATAGCTGGGTCAAACGGGACTTCCAGTCCTAGTTCTTTGAGGTGTCTCCATACTGATTTCGACAGTGGTTGCACCAGTCTACACTCCCACCAGCAGTGGAGCAGGGTTCCTCTTTCCCCACAGCCCCGTCAACATTTGTTGTTGATTGATTTCATGATGGCAGCCATTCTTTCTGGAGTGAGGTGGAATCTCAGCGTTGTTGTTTTCATTTGCATCTCTCGAATGACCAGTGATGTTGAACATTTTTTCATATGTTTATTTGCCATGTCTACTTCTTTGTGTGAGAAATGTCTGTTCATTTCAGATGCCCATTTTTGGATTGGGCCTTTAAATCTGGGAGGTCTGATTTTTTTTTAAAGTTCTTTATAGATTCGAGATAGAAGACCTCTGCCTGAGGAAAAACAGATGAAGATTTTTTCCCACATTGTGGGTTGTCTCTTCACACTGCTGGTGGTTTCTCTTGCTGTAAAGAAGCTTTTTAGTAAAAAGAGATCCCACTTGTTGATTGCTTGTGGTAGTTCATGGGCAACTGAGGTTTTGTTCATAAAGTCTTTTCCTACCTCAATGTCTCAAAGAGTTCTACCTAACCTCTGTTTCAGCTGGTTCAGTGTTTCTGTTTTTATATTTAGATCATTCATCCATTTCAATTTTAGATTAGTGCATGGTGAGAGATATAGGTCTAGTTTTAGTCTTTGGCAAGTTGAAACCCAATTTTTCCAGCACCATTTATTAAAGAGACTATCTTTCTTTTCCTGTAGTGAGGGTGTTTGACTCCTTCATCAAAGATGAGGTGGCTGAGTGTGTCTGAAGTTGTTTCTGCATCTTCTAATCTGTTCCACTGGTCTTCAGGTCTGTTTCTTTGCCAGTACCATGCTGGTTTTATCACAGTAGCTTTGTAGTATAGTTTCAAGTTGGGGGTTGT